AGTCACCCTCTCCCCCACCCGCGTCAGCGAGCGCCGCTGGAAGGGCCGCGCATGCCCAGCCACCGAGTTTCGCCTTGCAAGAGCGGCGGCGGGAGGGCCGCGCCTGAGGGAGCGGGGCGTTTGTCCCTGGTCCCGCGTCGCTCGCGGGGCCGTCCGACCCTCGCCCCTCGCCCCTCGCCCCTCGCTGGTCTCCTCCAGCCCCGCCCCGCGCCCCCAGCTCCGGCGGGTTCAGGCCGCGCCCGCAGTGCCCCGGGACCGCTGTGGAATAGCCCTTGTCAGCTAACCCCTAAAAGCGATTCCTGATTAGCGGAGATCAGCGTTCAGACGTGGGGCTCCAGGGTCCATGCTGTTTGCGTCAGGGTCCGAATGCAGCCCCAGCCTGCGGCTCCTTCAGTTTCCCCCACGTGGTCTTTCCCTATGGGTCCCCAGCACAGCCTGTGCTCGCGCCCCCTGTAAACCGCAGGCCCCCCTGGAGGCGCCCCTCTCGCTAGGATAGCCGCAGGCCGTGGCGCGTCCTTTCATCCAGAGCCCTCGATGCTCAGTGTGCCATCGCCCTTGCACTAATCATTGCAAAATGGGGACATGCTCATTCTTTCGGGTACATAAAGCACACCAAGTTATCCAGGAGCCGGTTGGCATACAAACGCCTGGATAGATGCTTTATCCTTTCCCTTGATTTGAAGTTTCAAACTAACACAGATTTTTAAAAAATTATTTGAGAGGTCGCAGGTGAGCAACAGGCTGGGGCTGCAGACACAACCCAGGGCTGTTGCTTCTGGGCCGCACCTGCTGAGCTTCGCCTTCCATTCCTGTTACCTCCATGTGGGTTTGCTCAGCTGTACTTCCCTGTGCACACGTGAAGCTTACGGAACAGCTCAGGTGAAGAGGGAATACATTTGTCCAGCCTGCCCGCGTTACAGGTGGGGAAGATGTAGACAAACACACCCAGTGACCGGGCTGAGCGCTGCCAGCCTAAGCATATGCACTGTGGGTGAGCAGAGGGTTAGAGGCCAAGAGCAGGCATGGGCCGGCCACGGAGGGCGTTCCTGTTGGATGGTGGTGGCAGCAGATACTGGTGCACCAGGTGTCAGATGCACTACCCTCACCTGTCCAGGTAGGCCTCACAGGAGCCTAGGGAGGTGGGCAGGAGAGCCAGGCTGTCCAGTGACTTGTGGGCCGCACCTGATAAGCGACGGGGCGGGGCCCACAGACACCATCCCGCACACTCTTGGGAAAGCGCTGCACCTGAGGCTGCTGCTACCAGTGAGGGGGACCCAGCACCTGGCTGTGGTGAAGCTGGTCCAAGCTACTCTCAGGGACGCCTCCCAAGGGACACGCAGGGCAGAGCTGGCACAGCGGGTCTCTGAGCTCCTCAGGAGGCCCGTCTGGTCCTTCTCCAAGGTCAGATCAAGCAGCTGCTCTCTGCCCAGACCCTATGGGAAGATTATGGGGTAGGCAGCCTAGGCTGGGGGCCATGAAGGCTGGGCGTGGTGGGCAGTCCACCTGTCCTGCTCACCTGTTCCCCTGGCATGGAGGTGCCAGTGGGTGGGTGGCCCTGATCCCCCTGCATGACAATTACACTCACGATACATTATAAACATTTTAATTCAGAGTTTAGACTTAATCCATATTTACATTTTAGAAAATCCCATCTTTTTCATCCCTAAATGTACTATTAACACTTATTAAAAATATAAATAACTTTCATACAAAGTTCACGAGTCTATAAATATGAACCTATTTGCCTCTCAAAAAGGCATTTGCAATAGCAGACGCTCAGCACTTTCTTATTCATACCATCAGGTCCTGGGCCCTGTGTGCCAAGCCCGTGCTGACCAGGGACCGGTCAGCTCGCTCTGATGCTTCGTTCTTGCACAAAGAGTGAGTCCTCAGTGATGGTTCCACAGCTCCCGATTGCCCTCCACTCACTTCCTGGGACCAGACAACTGTGGTTCTCTTTCTTCTACGGTCTTAACCGAAATGAGCGGGGCTGCAAGGCGGCTGGCTTTACACCAACAGTGTATCCCCGTCGTCCCCATCCCCATGTCCTCCACCGAGCAGGTGCAGACTGTCCTCATCAGACGCATCTGCTTCCTCCTCACTGCCCAGCGGCTCCGAGGGGCGTTTCATGCCCCGCTGCTTGGAAACTGCCAGAGCGTACTGAATGTTATAGCGGTTCCAGTCGCAGCTGTGAAAGTGCGGGGGTCGTGTTAGTGAAGCAGGAGTGACTTCTATTCCACCAGAAACGCTGGTTCGCCAGCACCCCCCACCCTCTCTGCGACCCTGACGATACCCAGCCATGGTATGTTTTGTCCCTGAATGAGAGGACACTGGGAGCAGACCCTGCTGTGGTCCAGCTGGCGATGATACAACCCCCACCCAGCCCACCGACGCTGGCAAAACGTACAGTTTGGAAACATCGTCCAAGTGCCGCTGGATGCTCTTCTGAAGGAACTGAACTGCCGGCAGCAGCTTCCCTGCTCTGGAAAGGAGACTTCCCTCAGTGCTCAGCAGCTATGTAAGGCCTCCCTTCGTGGTGTATGGGCATCTGAAGGCCTCACGTCACACCACACACGCATGCAAAGGCCAACCTCATGCTGTGCATCCCCGTAAAGACCAATTCACGCCATGCTTGCATGTAAAGTTTCCCCTTTTATCTGCAAAGATCAGCTGTGACAGGAGTCACAGACGAATGAGCAGGTCAGCACATCATACCTGGACTTCAGCTTCTGTCCATGCGCCATGAGCAATTTTCTGAGTCCCTATGAGGTGGAATTCCAGATGGGGAGACACTTCAAAGGATGAAGCCAAAAACTCAAGCATTTTCTCCACGTACAACTCGGGGGAGGGAGGAGCTGATAACGTCAACTGTAAGAAGAGAAGGAAACCCACGCTGACTCTGCCAAGAACTCAAACCAGGAGAAAAGCCGATTACAGCTTATGCCCTTTCTGTATGTGCACAGACCGAGAGCCCCGTCCAGCAGCTGTGGGTGCAGGGTCCTGGCAGCTCCCCGCCCCCTCCCCCCTGCCCTGCCCCAGCCGGGCCTGGCGCTCACTCTCATCCCAGGGCACCGACTCCAGGGTCTCCTGCAGCAGCAGCTTCTCGTTGAGCCGGACGGCCATCAGGATGGCCCTGGTGAAGTCCCTCTGGCGCAGTGCCGCCCGGATCCGGCCAGGGGTGACGCTGGTGTCCAGCTCAAAGGGGTCAAAGAGCATCTGGGTGTCCAGAGAGTAGATGAGGAGCCCCTCAGTGGTGGTGGCTGCCCAACAGCGCCCTGTGAAATGAAGCAGTCACATGGCTCCTAGACAGTTACTCTCCTGTTTCTTCCTCACTTATTTTAAGGAGCAGGTACTGAACACAGTGCACGGTCCCTGAGGCAGCAGCACAGGAAGGAGCACGGGGATGTCTTCCTCTTGCTCCTGCCCCGGCCACCAGGTCCTCTGGGAGGAGCACCCGGGTCACTGGTCCAGCCGTCCTCCCGCACCGTGTGCAGTGGCAGCAGACACATAGGTGCTCCCGCCTTGTTTACACTGGCAGGCCTGGCAGAATTGCCTGGCAAGGGCAGCAGATACTTCCAACTTTGCAGGCCATGTGGTCTCTGCAGCAATGTCTAACTCCACCACATGCCCAGACAAAAGGACAAACTGGCATGGCTGGTCTGTAAAAATTCAACTTATAAACCAGGTGGCCACCAGACCTGCCTCTCGGCCGTGGTCGGCACCCCTGGCTCACAGTGGTACCATGCCAGGTGCTGCTCTGCACCTTACTGTCCTTGTCCCCACTCCTCGCTGGAGTGTCAGCTATCAACTAGCAAAGACAAGCCCACCACAACCCTGTCATGTTCTGGTCTGCACACCGCACACACATAATGGCCCCGGGCCCTGGCAGTACTGACCCCTCCCCACAGCTCCCAAAGGTCATCTGCTAGACACTCTTAGGGGTGTGTGTGTGTGGGGGGGGGGGGGCAGGGTAGAGGAGCAAGGTACTTGATGGTAGATGAGGAGGCGGCCTCCCAGGATGGTCCCAATTGGCACATGAGGAGGGTGCTCAGAGCAGGTGCCTGCCTCCCCAAGCCCAGCCTGTCTGAGGTCACAGCTTTCATAGCCAACCTCCAGACAGGACAAAGATGACCATGCCTAATGCATGGGGGACAGTGCAGCTCAGACAGAGCTAGTCAGAAACTGAGACCGACATTGTCCCTGGGAGCAGAGGCATTGTGCAGTGTGGGTCCATGCCGGACCCCACGCCTTCCAGCACCAACAATGCACTGCTTGGCTCACCTGTGGGAGAGAAGCGGAGTGAAGTCACCCTGATTTCGGGTTTGAAGTGACGAGAGCTCATGTCACCTGGAAATCAAAGGAACCACTCAGTTACAGGGCAACACATCCCTCATCAGGTGAGTCACTTCACTGGCCAGGGTGGCAGTCCTGTCCCTGTCCCTCCAGCCCTATTCGCAGATGTGGCACCTCAGACCTGCACGAACCAGCAGTGTGCATGTGGACTGGCCAGCCAACCACTTAGTTCCGGGAAGAGGCAGGCTGGTTCCGCCTCCACCTGTCCATCAGCCGGGAACTTGAAGCCGTGCACAAGCCGCATGACTACACTAGGCAGGTCTGAGTGGAGGCTCATCCTTCCTGGGTATTGTCACATGAATCCTTTCTGGCACATTGTTTTCAAATTTGCTTTGTAAAGGGCAACACATTCTCATAGTAGGAAACTCCACAACTCAAAGGTGACCTGTGAAAGGTCTGTCTCCTCACTGCTCAGCCCTCGGCTGCCTGGAGCCCTTCCTGGAGGCCACCAAGCCACGTTCCATGTGTGCCCCACCCCGAAAGACACTGCCGGGAGCGCTCAACCTCCGGTGACCGATGTTTGGAGCCAGGTCCTTGCGGGTCTACAGACCCCTGGTCTATCTACACTCAGTGCCAACAGCAACACCCCCGGAAGTGGTGACAATCAAAACGCCCCTGGACAGGTGGAGCCACACTCAGTCGGAGGGTCTGGAGGACGTGTTCAGCGCAGGCCTGTTGCCACCTGGTGCAGAGAAGTGAGCGTACTGTGCTCTGTGGGGCATGGAGCTGCTCTAGAACCGGCATTGGCTCATTTGATCCTCCCATCACCCAGCCAGCTAAGGTGCCCTCACTCCCCAAGTGCAGGGCGGGCCTCGGGTGCCAGAGTGGGCATAAGCCAAGGCTAGAACGAACCGGGCCCAGGCCAGCTGCTGCAATACCATGCGTGTGGGCTTTCTGGCAGATAGATGTCCCTTCTCGATGGGACCCAAGTCTGCTGCCCTGTCCCTGTGAGGCACATGTACCCCTCGGGCCTCCTAGACTCCCCAACACTGAAGTCCTTGTGGCCCATATAGGGGGCGAGGCCTGGCCCAGGGAGCACAACGAGGCCCAGAGGTGAGGAGGACGCAGCTGTGCAGCAAGTCATAGGGAGCTTCCCGCAGCCCAGCCTCCAGCAGACACACGTGCGCAGTGAGTTTTCAGACATGAACCACGGCAGCAATGACAAGGGAGTAAAACTGCTGCTGCCCAGGACAAGCAGGTGAGCAGGGCGGCCTGCTGTGGCAGAGTCCACGGGGAAATGAGGGACCCTCTGCTCACCTTTCCTTACGCCGGGCAACGGAATCGCGACTCCGTTCTCCTCCCCGGCATCTTGATCAATTAGCGCCAGGTTGCCAAACTCTGTCATTTTCCTTCGGTTCAAAAATTCCTAGAAGAGTAAAACCCAGGTATCTCCGTAAGAGGTGGGGGAGGGGAGCACGCCTCCCCTCCTTTGCTGTGTGTGTAACACTTAAGGAAACCCAGCCCTGTCTAGGGCGTGCACAGGACACAAGGCCTCTGAGAAGAGACAGCTACAAGCCAGTTTCACGGCAGAACCTCCCTCAGAGCCTAGTGCGGGTGGACAGGAGTCCCTGCTGCCACAAGGGGGCTGGATTCTCTAAATCAACCTTCAGAGGACCCCCAAGGGTCTCTGTGAGGGGGATGACCCCGGGGGGGGGGGGGGGCCCGGGCGGGGGGAGAGCTCTGCTCCCTCAAAATGCCAGGCCCATCCTGGCCATCACGTGCCCTCACACCACAGCCCAGCCCCACCCCACGCCGGGTCCTGAGAAAGCCCACAGAACTGTGCTATGGAGCCCCTGCTGCTCGCTCACCTCCATGGCATCCAGCGACAGGTTGCAAGAGATCTCAAACTTCTTCCTGAGAATCTGCTCCCTGACGTGGTAGATGCACACGAACTTGGACATCCCTCCTGGCAGGACACTCTGGCCGTCCGCGGAGTAGCACAGAGTGGTGAAGGCCCTGCAGCGCAGGGGGACTCGGACTTAGTCACCACTCGGGGACTGCGACGTGTGGTCCTCCCACATGTTCCCCAGCAGCCTGCTCCGCTCACTGCCTAGAAACCCACACGACTCTAACCCTGCACACAAAGCACCCTTAACCCT